GTGTGCAGGAACTAAAAGACGAATTATGCATTCTGTTATTAAAACAGTGCACCTCCATATACTATACTATAGTTATGCATATACTTGTATCTCACTATCACTATATCACTGTAATAAAGCTAATGAAATTTGTATAATCAGATGGGTCATCTTGCTTTAAAGCATGTGATTGAGTGATTTTTTGCAGAGGGTAGTTCTTAGGCAGTTTGTTTTGTTCATGATGTGAATATGTATTTCTGTGCTATATACTGTTACATATGCAGGTTCAGTGTGTGACTCTGTTGACATGTTGTATGAAGGTCTGTCTGAGGTGATCTGATCGCAAGTGGTCAGCAGCACTAAATACAAGTGTTGATGGGATCCAAAACATTCTGTATCAATTTGGAGATGTCAGAATGCAAGTGGGAATAATGCTTAAAACTGCATTTAAGATTTGTTCAGATTTATATATATTTGGCAGAAACCACTTCATTTTCTTCATTTTTTTATGCTTTATCAACACAAATCCCCTTGAATTTTGATTATATAAAGTCACAGGAGACACATCTGAGTCATGTTACACTTGTAAACAGTCTTGTCTGGCCACTTGTGATCAGATCACAACGAGAACAGGGCCTGTGTGAGAGCGAGAGAGAGGCAAACCTACCTTTCTATCAAAACGAAAAATAACGTTATCATCACTTTTCTAAAGAGTGAGACACTAAAGTTAGCAAATAGTTGATGCTTTAAGTTGCAGAACCTCTGTCATGTCATCTGTCAGTTGTTATGCATCAGTTCAGTGTGCCATTGATATCACAAAAGCAACTGTAGGAGCTCTTGTAGTCTTGACCAGCGGTGTGTTGTGTGTTCTTCACGAGCAGATGTTCATGTTCTCCTGTTGCAGGGCCGTCGGCTGCATCTTTGCTGAGCTTCTTGCCCATAAACCTCTTCTGCCTGGAGCCTCAGAGATCCAGCAGGTGGATTTGATCGTACAGCTGTTGGGAACACCTAATGAGAGCATCTGGCCGGTACGGAGTTCAGCTTAAGTGAAATGTGTTTTCTTGTATCCTGTGTTTAGATGTAAGAGAATGATGAGTGGTGATACTACAGGTTAACCACTCAAGGAGTTTCTTGTGAATTGTAGGGCTTCTCGCGCCTGCCGTTGGTTGGGCAGTACAGTCTGAGGAAGCAGCCCTACAACAACCTAAAGAACAAGTTCACCTGGTTATCAGAAGCTGGTTTGAGACTGCTTAACCTGCTGTTCATGTACAACCCACAGCGCCGGTAAAACAAAGTGCATGTAGAAAAATAGTGGGGAAGCCTTATTTATTTGGTTTTTCATGTTAAGAGTTACATTAAATAGCTTGAATCTAATTAAACCGTAGATGAAATACCCTTTTATGGTACAAATTCATAAATATAAATATCTTTGTAAAATACATCATGTACTGGTGCAGTGTAATAATGTTATTTAATGAATACATGCTATGTGTCTTACAGAGCCACAGCTAAAGATTGTTTAGAAAGTTCCTACTTCAAGGAAAAGCCCTTGCGTAAGCACAGGCTTATATTCATTTCTTAGTTCTACATTGAGATCTCTATATTTTAGGCAGATTTGCTGACTTTTTCTCGTGTTTCACCCTGCAGCGTGTGAACCAGAGCTGATGCCCACGTTTCCTCATCACAGAAACAAACGAGGAGGCTCTGTGATGGAAAACCAGTCCAAAAGAAGCAAAGTCTGACGTTCTGCTGCCTGATGAGTGACGCTCGTCACCGATGGCATCACAGACGTGTTCTACTTTTCAAATGGAAATTTCTGTTCTTTTCTTCTGAAAGATATTGTGCAAATTACATTAAGGATCAGACTTACAGACATGAGATACATTGTAAATAATACAAAGAAATCCTACTTAGGCGAGTTGTACTTGAATGATGCTGCTGTTTTTGTACAAAGATTAAAAAAAGCTTTCTGTTCTGAATGCATTAGCACGTGATTCATTTATATAAAAATGTCACCTTTGCTGTGTCAATTGTGGGGTTGATCTGTTTAAGTATGTTTTGTTGATCTGTGAATCAGAAGTTCCTTTGCAAGACTGTACCTGTAGCGGATTTATCAGATCATCAAAATTACTTGAATTATTAATGGGCTGTTGGCAGTTGTTTTTTGTTTATTTGTTCTGCTGAGAAGGCAATCAGAATTTCCGCTCCTTCAGTTATAGCACCCCAGAGGTGAAATGTTATGATCCTCAGATTTTCCTGATGTTAAAGGGGTCATAGGATGCTACATGCACTTTTACAAGTTGTTTGAACTGAAATGTGTGTTGGCAGTGTGTGTGTACACAACCACCCTAAAATGATTTAAAAAATCCACCAAGTGTTATTTTTTTAATCTGGTTAAATGTTTTCCCCCTTCTCAAATCGAGCCGATCTCAGATGCCTGTCTGTGTGACGTCACACAGACAGGCCCCTCCCACGATAGCTTGATTGACAGTAGCGTTTCAGCACAGACTGGACTGGTGTCTTACCTTAGACCCGCTGTGAGTGAGCTGTCATCAGTCCGCCATTGTTTCACCGCTGGAGCAGATGTAGACAAGAATGACTCCTAAGCGATTGAGGTCTTCTGTTGTTGGATGTAGTAATGAACATAGCAGTCATCATTTACTCCTGACATGCGTCCCCGATCTACATAAATGTGTCTATGTTCGCGCGACTCACTCATGATCCAGCCTCATCTACAGAATAAGTGAGTATAATGTTTTGTAATGAAGCGTTGCAAATCTCCTTTCCTAATAATGTGTTAATTAGCAAGTTTCACTAAAGTAAACAATCCCTCAGAAAGCGGCTCGGAAGAGAGGGGCGGGGTCAGCAGAGCTCATTAACATTTAAAGGAAAATGCTACAAAACAGCTTGCTCTGAAAAGAGCTGTTTTTGACAGGGCAAAAAGGGTGTTTTTTACACTACCATTGTGAAATTTTAACCAAACTATATTACAGACTTTTCATTAAGACCCTAAAGAATCATATGACCCCTTTAAGAGGGACAAACAAATGGCCTAGAATGAGCTTGAAAAAGTATTATTTGAAAAGTATCGAGGCCGGCGCCTATCTGGACCGCTTTATTCTCAAATTACTTGGGTACTTTAAATATAGTCATCCTCTATTTTTTATTTTTTTTTTAGATAAAGAGAAACGAGTAATGAGTTTTCCTCATTTTACTCAGCAGAAAGTGAGGGAACGCCTGATGATTGCTTTCAGATCCCTCATTGATTTTTGAATCTCAAAACAATGCTTTCTATTAAAAAAAAAATCACTCCGCAAGATATCGAGCTGATTTTGTGAGATATTTGAATTGGTTGACACATAAGATTAATACCTGGATAGGTACATCATGTTTAATTCTTGTACATTTACTTCACAGCATTTTCCATTGTAAAGAAACACTATGTTCCCCTTCTCAAATGAAAAGGCAACTTTTTTTCTGGAAACACAGCATGTTCACAGCAAGAATATTATCCTTTGATTCAATTGTTAATGTTACAGAACTATTTTCAGAAGTTTATCCATTTTAAGCAGACTGGATAGGCTGAAGTAAATACAGCTGAACAAACAAAGCACAAATTCTTTTAAAAGTCATTTTTTATCAGATCAGGTCAACATGTTTTTCTTCAGAATGAATGACAGCTAATGGTCTGTAACACACTTCATTACAACACATCTGCTTGATCAGTTTTTAAATAAGTGAAATGTTGATGGGTGAGCGTGTCAAACACATGGCCAGGTCATATTTCAGCCCACAGGCAAAGGAAGATAAACTGAAAACATTGTATCACTGCAAAAAATCTGAAAAGTCGTAAAACAGACTTGATTTTCTTAACCCAATACCCAAAATATGATTAAAGAACATCAAGCCTATTTTTTGCATTGTGACACTGTATCATGAAGCAAATCTCAATTACTATATGTAGAGATAAAAAAATAATCAGCATTAATAATTATGTCCAAACAGGCTTCAATTTCTTTCTGAATACAACTGATTTTTTTTCCTGTTTAATTCTGGGGTGAAATGTGACCCAGACGTGTCTTTGAGAGATTCACCCAGACCACGTTTATTCAGTAAAGTGCTGCAATACTAAGCTGGACACAAAAGATACTGTTAAAGCTCAAAGTGATCTGCACTCAAAACAATCCAAACAACTAAATTAAATTAAATAAATTAACATAAATCTTTGCCGAGAGCTGTATTGTTCACAGCCGGTTCAGAATTAAGGGCAGACAGACAAAAAACTTCATAAAATGAATACATCAATCAATTTGATTATGTAAATGTAAACATAAAACAATTTACAGCAAGCTTCATGCTCTCTCTTGCGCTTTCGTCTATCCAAACTGATGAATGTGATGTTCTGTAGTGTTGGGCGATTAGAGAGGTTAGAATAGACTACATGCTCCTGCCGTCAGGCTGTGGGTTAGTTAGAGTAGATAGTCCTGGTTGAGTTGGGACAGCTACATACGAATGGATGTTGGGATTGAATGGAGTGTCGTGGTTCAGCCCTCCTGTCCAAAATCTTCTGTGAACTTCCTCACCTTCAGCAGGTCTTCTGTGTTGACGGTGGGGCGTGTGGTCGCCAGAGAGCGCAGCATGTCAGACTAACAAACACACACACACACAAATATAAATGTAATTCATGAATAAATGTAATTTATTACTGTGATGCAAAGCTCAATTTTCAGTATCCTTACTCCTGATCCTTCAGAAATCATTCTAATATGTAATCATTATTTTTGATGCTCAGTTATTAATAATGGTTCTTAATTATTATCAATGTTGAAAACAGTTTTTGCTGCTCCAAATTTTTTTGTGGAAACCATGATACATTTTATTTCAGGATTCTTTGTTAAATAGACATTTATAATGTTACAAAAGATTCTTTGTCACTTTTGAGCAATTTAGTATAAAAGTATTTTTAAAAAGTATTTCAAAAATGTCAAATGTGTTGTGTGTGTGTGTACTTGTACAGCTATCTTTGTGAGGACCGGTTTGCGTTTTAGACCATTGGCGTGAGGACATTTTGGCCGGTCCTAACTTTATGAGACCCCTTTAAAGGCCTGTTTGAGGGTCAAGACTTGGTTTTAGGGGTCAGGTTATAATTGGGTAAAGGGTAGGTTTAGGGCAAGGGTTTGGGTCAAGCACTTAGTTCTGATGGGTAGGTTTAGGGTAAGGAGCTAGAGATTGCATTGTGTCAATGAATGTCCTCACAAAGATAGCTATATAGAGTTTTGTGTGTGTGTGTGTGTGTGTGTGTGTGTGTCTCCAAGATGCTTCAAGAAACCTTCCTGCAAAGCTACAGCACTGTGAAAAATTTTAGGCACTTACGTAAAAATGCTGTAAAGTGAGGATGCTTTCAAAAATAATGTCATAAATAGATTCGGACCACCCTTTGCGTTTAAAACAGCTTTTGTCCTAGGTATAGTTTTTCAGGCGGCTTTGCAGGAAGGTTTCTTGAAGTTTTTTCATGTAATCTCAGACGGACTGGATGATGGTGAGATCAGATCTCTGTGTGGATCACTGGCTGTTGTCAGACAAAAATCTCACTGGATTATTACAATTAATTACGTGTAGGTCTCTGCAGGACAGTAATGGGAGTTTCCAGATCAGGGCGTTTTCCACCATGTTACCTGATTGGCTCACGTCATAGTGACGGTTTGAAAAAACCCACAATGTCAGAAACGCCCACTTTTGCTCTGCAGAGACCTCCAATTAATTTCTATTAAATTAATTTCTCCAATTAATGGCAAAAGGAATGTTTGGAAATGTAAACTGTAATGTAAATATTAAATGTAAATATTTCCTACTGACACACTACAGCAAAAGATAAAAATAACTGGCTTAAAACCTTTTTTTTTTGTTGTTGTTGGTGAAAATACTAATGGCCTAAGACTTTTACACAGTAATGTGTGTGTGTGTGTGTGTGTGTATATACTGTATATATATGATGCTGAAAATTCAGCTTTGCCATCAAAGAAATAAACTACATTTTAAAATATATCAAAAATAGAAAACAGTTATTTTATTATAGTGTATATATAGATGATGTCATCTTGGCATCATGCAGTAAACAAGCAGTCCATTCACTGACTCTCTGATGCCTATTGTCAGGCTGTTTTTATCAATAGGCCGAGAAACCTAACAAAAAAAAAAGTACCTATTTTGATTGTTTTATATGTGAAATAACTAGTACTTTGTGTGTGTGTGCGTGTGTGTGTGTTCACGGTGTGTGTGTGTGCACTTGGATGGGTTAAATGCTGAGCACAAATTCTGACCCATACACGTCACTTCACTTCAAGTAAAAAGTATTATTTCCCTTACTAGTGTACAAAATTATTACATTTTCAAACATATTTTTCATGTTAACTAATGTATAACAAATAAAACCTTACTGTACAGTGTTACCAGTATTTTTGACAAATCTCATCAATACTGTGTAGATAGTATTGAGTATTGATAGTATTGTGTAGATAGTGTAGAATAAAGGGGTCATATGATGTTGCTAAATTATTTTGTGTATTTGGTGTAGTGAAATGTGTTTATGCGGTTTAAGGTTCAAAAAACACAAAACACACCATTATAAATTAGGCATTCGTTGCATCCAGTGGGGACATAATTATGGATTATAATGACTTATACTGTCTTTTTACGCATTG